CTATTTACTTACTATTTATAATGTTGCTGGTAACCGTATTATAAGGCACTTAGGCATTTCAGTAGCCTAAAGAAAATAGTCCCCCTACGTGCATGTAAACAGCATTGGTTCTCGCAACTTATTATTAATTCACATCGGTTATGACGACCACCAAAATTATCTGGTGTTGAAAGCTTGCATTTTTTGGTGATCGCCACTGAGCTAAAAACTGAAATGACAACCAACTAAATCCAACTGCTATTTTGTACTGTACATTGTTGCTCAAAAATGCACACCTTGTGACTCACTCTCAACCAATCAAAACGCTGGATTTTACCTACCGTATATAATATGATAAATAGCTTTTATGAAGTGCATGTACACGTTAATCTTTTAGTGCTCGCTCCCCGATGTGGGCCCATTACATGCGTTTACCGTGAATGTCAGCATATAGGAGACTAAACATATCCTGGACCGTAGTTCTGGCCTTCACAATAAAATGTCACGCTACAAAACCTCCAAAAAGTGCATTAAAAGATCTTCATAATCAATGTGCGTTCTCACTGCTTTTTCTCATCAAAGTAACTTTCCTATAGCAATTAGACACAACAACGTTTTATATAACGTTAATAACGTTTAGAAATACGCATTCTGTGAACACATATTTTTCTTTTCCTGACTGAAATTGTACTTTACACCATTTTTCTGTCGATAGCAGCTTTGTTTATATGAAGTAAAGAGGAATATTTCACAAAATAAGAGATCAGCGCTTAGCTCTGCAACGGAACCATTTAATAACTGTACTTTAAAACAAGGATTTCTGACTTACCGGCGTTTCTGGCCATGTTTGGGTCACAGAGTGGAGGAGATGCTGCAGATGATGTGAAAGTGTCTCCTGCAGCGCTGACAGAACGGCTCTTTATGTACTGACGCACTCCCACTGGCGGTTAAATCCTTAATTTAGCCCCCTCACCATTTACAAGAAATTGCAGTAGTTCTTCTAAGCAGCACAAAGCTCGACTCGCCTTCAGGGTTAAAAGAAGAATGCAGCCGTTCTCTAAAAAAGACTGGCTTATCATTACATAAAGGCCAAGTAAAAACAATAAATAACAAAGATAAATAAAAACGGCGGTTTAGCTGTCCCTACTGTATTTTATCGTAACATCTCTTTAAATGACATCTCATCCTTTTTTCTGATGCTTCCTGTGTAGAAGAATACGTGACACTCAATAAGAATTAATATCAGGTTGCACACATGCTCCTCATACAGATGTTGGAGAAAAGAACCATCCAATCCAACAATAAAGGAAGAGGCAGCAGTTGTTTTGCACTGCCCCGTGTCGGCTGACAGTGGAACCTCCGTAACGACTATTCAACCCCCTACTAAATGACAATACAATGACAAAAACAAGAGAAAATGAACTTTTACCAAAAACCGCATCAATCTGATTTTAATTATGCATCATTTTTCTTAAATTTTTGCTAGTGATCAAGATATTGTGATTTTCAGGGAAAAGAAGAATCTTGGTAAGTCACGAGTGAACCGTGTGTTTTACCTAGTCTATTAAAGTATTAGGATGCGATGAAAAAGTTAACAAGTGATATTTATATTTTGAGGTTTAACAATGTATTTTATATGGTCACAAACTAATGGGATTCATGTTAATGATGCAACATTGAATTAGCTATCTGGCTTCATGTGTCCCTCGTTCATACATTCTGTGCTTTCCCTGCCAAATAAGATAAGATCAGATAAGATAAATGAGGATGTACTTTAGAAAGCGCGGGTTTTGACTGTTGCTCCTTCACCTGAAAGCAAACATACAATTGATGTTCATCTTTTAATACAGATGCATTATGGCAATACAATTGTTTATATGATGAGATTCATCTCTGAGCTTGTGAGTCATAATACGATAGGCAGTAAATGCATCAAAATCATCATAGTCATTATGTGTAAATAAATCATTTTGTAAGCTTTTGGACGCAATGAAACGTTTGCATGCTAGAAATCCGTCGATGCCAGCGGTTACCAGGGTAACATTAGGAGAAAAGTTAGTTAATTTAAATAACTAATCAGGAAATTGTGGCAAACTATTGTTTGGTTCTTAAATGAAATGAATATAATAAGATGAATACAACAATGGTTGAAAATGAAAAACCACATGATCTAAACAGCATTAAATACATCTCTAATAGATAAATAACACAGTTAAATATAATTTAATCTATGGTTTAAATTAGAGCATGGATCGGGACGACTTTTTCTGTCCGAGCCCGGCCCGCGTCCGACAGTCTTTAAACTATTTTGTCCGAACCCGACCCGAGCCCGACGGAGTCAATGCCTCAACTGTTCATAACAATGACACATTCACGAACGTTTTTTTTAATAAATAGCCTGCCTTTATTTAACTCAACTCAAACTTATTTTAAAGCATCAACAGATAAATATACTCGCTCAAACAAACAAGCGCAACCGAGGGAACCGAGGTTCTACATCATGGGAAGCAGATGTTGATTGACGTTCAATACCTTATCGCGCTGATGTGTCCGAGCCCGACCCGAGCTCGACTATATTTTCTAAATATTTATCCGAACCCGGCCCGGGTATCCACCCTCTAGTTTAAATGCATGTCTTCTGCCACCTACTGGTGGAGATGTGAACACGTTTACTCGGGGGTCTCCTTGAACGGCCTCTGCTCTGCCTTTACTGACACAATGCGTGGAAAATAAATATCAGAGCAACTAGTGTGCGTGTAGCAAACTACTGGTGCTAACACATCCCGTCGGACCAGAGTTAGTTATTTATATTAACTAATTAACTTTTCCCCTAATGTTACCCTGGTAACCGCTGGCAACGCAGACGGATTTCGGTCCATTGCGTTGACTTTTACTATTTTTTTTGTATTTTGTATTCTCAGCAAATCTATTGAAATTAATTTCAGCTTCTCCCATTTCTGTATTATCAGCAATTCTTTAAAATAATTTCAGCTTTTCTGATGTCTGTATCTAGCAATCTTTTAAACATTTCTGTATGTTTTGCAATTTTTGCAATTCATTTCAGCTGTTCTCATTTCTGTATATTCAGCTATATTCTTTCAAATTAATTTCAGCGTTTCTAATTTCTGTATTTTCAGCAATTCTGAAAGATCCATTTCAGCTTTCAGCATTCCAACACATTTACTGTAGGAAATGCATTTTCTAGTTTTAATACTGCTCTGATGTCAAAATACATAATCCTTTCTTCAAAGGTCTTTGGAATAACAAATTATTAGAAAGGCATAAGACAAACATTTCTAAAAGAAATAACTCATGAGATAAGTGGTAAAGCCTGCTACTATCAGGCTGCACAACCAACTGTGCACACAGTGAACCACAGAACATTACTAAGGAACACTAAAACATATGTGCAATAAAAATCACAATGTGCAATAACCACGGGGGTACACTGTGTGTATGGTGACCCTTTTGCCTATCAAAAGTGAGCTCACCTTGATTGGTGTTCTTGTTTTGACATGTTATATATTCTTTGAGACATCTCTAATTCTCTTTGATTGTCCTTTATTTTGTTCATTAGTGACACCATCAAATGATCCTAACACATGGTTCTGACTAATTACTGTGGTCTTTGTACTTCTGTTAGGGACCCGGTTTTCTTAACAGTTTTCCCCCCAGTCTGTGCTTTTGTTTTTGCTTTTTTTGTTTTTCCACCTATAGTTTCCACCTGTGTGTTCCGCCTCCGGCCCCACCCCTCTCCCACGTGCCCAGCTGTGGCTCATTCCGGGGATCACTGGTGACGAGTATAAAGACTCCTGCTTTCAGAGGCTCGTCGTCAGTCCGTCCCAGTACCCAGGCTGGTCTCAGGCGCTGTTGATACCGAGATACAGCAGATAAACCAGTTTTTTTTCATGTTTTTGTTTGTTTTTGCATCAGACCCACGGAGTACACGTGACCTGCTTTTGAGTTGGACTGTGAGTATGGTGTCGGGCCTCGGGTTTCCACACCAGACCCTGCTTGAGCCGCCCCAGACCGCCAGACGTCGGTGGAGTTTCCCTCACGACTCCAGTTGGGCCAGAGGAGCGCTTTCTGTTTCCCGTATTCACCTAGTTTGTTTTTTTGTGGAAAATAAAGTCACTTTGGCTGAAAATCCAAGGCTGCTGTGCGTGTGCTTTTGGGTCCACCAAATACACCCCCTCCTAACAACTTATTTTTTATTTTTGTCTATCATTATGTATATTACTTACTTTTACTGCTGCTCTTGTATTTTACCATATATGTGCACTGTCTACTTTGCTGCCACAATCCTGTGAATTTCCCCATTATAGGACTGATATATTTTTTCTCTCTTACTAAACAATCCCTTACAGCTTAAATCCTAGCGCTCTAAACCTCTCCTGGCACCTTATGAAAAGCCTTGATCCAATAGAAGAAACCTGCCACTAACTAGTGCGACTGATGGCTGTTGTACCCTATGGTTGAATGCACTTATTGTACGTCGCTTTGGATAAAAGCGTCAGCTAAATGACATGTAATGTAATGTAATGTAATGGCTGCACTCGGCCTTGTGTAGTTACGGGTGGAAGCGGAGTAGACGGGAGTAGGAGGAGGAACAACATCTGGATGTGAACTCTGCCTTCCAGCTGGGCATTTTGTTAGCTTATAAATGTTGGAGTTGCAGCACAAGTGGAAAAAAGGTATTCGTTATATCTGTTGTTTTTACATTCTATGTGACTGCAGAGCTGTGGAAGAGGATTGAAAAGTTCACAAGTCAAATCTTCGAAAGAGGGCTTTGCTGAGGAGATAATAATCACTAGGAATGATGCTCCACATCTTGTCACATTTTTAGAGTTGCATCAAGTTCACAGTAGATGTGCTGTCAGTTGTTACGAGCACAACCAGACAAGAGATTCTAGACCTTTGCTGATTTTCAATGGGGCTCATCTGTGTCTTTTTTCATTTTCAACGGAGACTTGAGTCCTTTCAACCTCTTGTTGAACAGTAAATGATTTCTCTGAAAAATGTTTGGTCATAATAGTACATGTTTATTACCACTTCGGTTTAGCATGTGATACAGTCTTACATAACTTTCTAAAAGAATGCTTATGACAAACCGTGCTAATGCTAAAAATGATATTTAAACATTTTACACACTGAATATCTCCTCAAAAGCAAAATGAAAAAAGATTTCAATGTGAGTATAATAGGGTTCAAGGGAAATGTACATTTTCTGGATGATGTTTTGTTGTTTCATATATTCCTGAATGTGTTACTTTTGTACTGTCTGATCAGTAATCAGATTGGAAAAGGGCCCCAATAAACTTGCCTACTTTTTTTATTCCTCCATACACAAATGTACCAGCTTTCACCAAAGGATACAGTGGATTGAACCCCTCAGCTTCCTCTCTTGCCTCTCTTTCATACCTTAACTGCATCTTTGCTACTTCTTCTCTCAGTTCTTTGTCATGCTGTTCTTTAATTGCCATTTCCTTTTTTTCTCCTCTTTGTCTTTCTTTTTCTCTGCATTTTTCTCCTCCTGCTCCTCCTCTCTCCTCATTCATCCTCTCTCTTTCTCTCTTCATCTCATCCTCTCTTTTTTCTCTCCCTCTCTATGTCAGCCTGGACTTGTTCACTTATTTTCTTCATCTCTTCTTCATATTTCTTCTGTAGTTTCCTCTCCAGTTCCTCTGTCTCTTTGCGTATTTGCTCTTCTTTTGCTTTCAGGATACTTTGTTTCTTCTCTTCAACGACCCTCTCAGCCTCTTGGAACATCTCGTTGGTGTAGTGGCTTCCTCCGTTCTTCTGGGCCATATTTCGGATCTTCTGGAGCAGCTCAGTGACCTGAGAGCGATCCTTTAGCTTATTGTTGAAGACATGGTACTGGTCGTTACATCTCTTCACAAGTTCCCGCAGGTCTTCGCAATCCACCAAGAAGTCTTCAATAGTGCCTTCAAGAAGATCACCATGAGTAAAGAGGACCATGCTGTATTTGTCTGCAGCCTGACCAAACATCTCTTGAATTCTCTGCACTGTCTGCTTTTCCTCTTTAGTGTATCTGCCCAGCCTGATGACCACCAGGAACACATGAGGCCCAGGAGCAGCGTAAGTGACGCACTGGCAGACATCTTCAGTTGTTTTATCCAGACCATACCTGGTGTCAAACAGGCCCGGGGTGTCGATAACAGCGACCTGTTGTCCATCCACTGTTGTGGTTTTGCCCTTGGAACAGTCCACAGTCATGGACTTTGCACTGAACTTTGACTCAAAGAAAGGCCGTCCCAGAATGGTGTTTCCAGTGGCACTCTTCCCAATCCCAGTCTTCCCCACCATCACTATCCTCAGCGCCTCATCATTTGTTCTGTTGCTTCCTGTGTAGAAGAATACGTGACACTCAATAAGAATCCAGATCAGGTCGTACACATGTTGTACTTAATGCTACTTGTACAGATATTGGAAAACAGAAGCGTCCATTTTAAAATACAGGAATTTTTTGAGGATTTAATTTACACATTTTCTTTCAGACTTTTGTTTGAGATACCAGGAAAAACTGTGCTCTAGTGCAGTGTTTTTGCCTGTCAGCTGTGCCGTGAAAAAAATTCAATTGGTGAGAAAAAAAAAAAGAGCCAACTTGTGTGTTTGTGTGTGTCGTCGCGCTGTTGGTGGTGTGAAGCCTCAATACTCCCCTCTGCCTGTGGGTAGCGGTACGCAGCGTAATTAATAGGCAGATTTGCTGAGGCGACATTTAAAAAAAAAGTGAGATTTAAGGCTGGCGCATGCTTCTGCGTCTGCACTGTTTCAATTCATGGTTCTGCGTGTGTTGCAGAGTAATTCACCGCCAGACGTGTTTTTGTTGAAGACGACCTAGAGTCACGTCTATGTATGTATGCATTTATTTATTTATTTGGTTATTTATTTATCATAGACTTTATTGCCCCGTGCATCGCCACTGCTGCTTTTCATCGCGGACACATTTGTCCCGTATTTTCCTCCACAACTTTGTGCACCTCTCGACCGGTGAAGAAGTAGCGTTGCACATGTCCTGAAGTGTTCCAAGACACGCCCAAGGTAACCAGTTGTTTTAAATCCACGACACCAAAAGGTTTCCTCCATGCTGATCTACGTCAACGAAATGAATAAATTATACTGAGGGTCAAGTAATTGTTTTGTGTCTCCGTGGCGCACTGCTAAGAGCAGCCACCATGTTAATATTTTGATGTTTTGATCCCCCGGGTTCGAATCCAGGTTGTGCCGATCTTTCCTATAATATATATTTTTTCATGTAAATGTTTTCATACGTGGCTGTGATGTGGTGCTCACTTATAAAATCGTAAACGCTGCAATGGATTTGCGATGCGTTTTGTAGATTTTCAGCAATATGTTTGTGAATGTGTGACTAATCAGGGAACTGAGGCGGACACATCTGCAGCTGTGGAGTGAACACTCCCACGCACGCGTAGGGAAACCAGTAGGTGGAAAAACCAGTAGGGGCGTAACACCGGCAAACCGGCGTTTGCGGCGATCTCCCTCCGTGAATCCAACCCGCTTCTACAACCCGCCAATGAGGGCTTGTAGAAGCGGTCATATTTACGCTTTTCTTCCGACAAAAGTTCTTATATCTGATCCGTTCTCTGGTAAAAATTCTTCGTTTTAATAATGGCGCTATCGGGCTATGAAAGCGGAAATGTGAGACTCCGTAAAGGACGTAGTTAGCGGACCAATCACAGCCTGGTGCGCTGCGGGAGGCTTGCGTTGCTTTCGACGAAAGCCTAAAAAAATGGCTCGAAACACGCAAGGACGCAAGGAGGTGTGAAAAGCGACGCAAGGGAAAACGCAGAAGCATACACTAGGCGTAAGAGATACCTGGGCATAAAGCCTGTGCCATCTTGGCATTAGGATGATGTTAAGTTTAATAAAACACAACAAATAGAACACGCGTTTCCCTGATTTCTTAGAGTATATTATACTCACGCTGAAACTGTTTGTGATTGATTTGATAGCATTTCCGGTTGTTGGTGTGCCGTGAGATTTTTTCTGTGTCTTAAGTGTCCCTTGGCGCAAAAAAGGTTGAAAAACACTGCTCTAATGCAGCTCATCTCAGTTGTACCTGCCACAATCATGACATCAATATAAACGAGTAAATAAAGGGAGCATCAATCCAACATATATACTTTTCAATATATGCCACATTCTTGCAGCTCCTGCACAACATGGACAAATCAAAAACCAAATTGTCAGCATTTCCAAAAACTCCAATAAAACAATATACACACTTCAGGCTCTTACACTACTGAATAACGATATAATGACGAAAAAGAGAACAATCTAACTTTGGACTATGTGTTTTAAGAACAGAAACTGGATTAATCTGACTCAACTACTCACCACCTTTCTTTCTTTGACTGGTGATCAAGAAATCATGATTATTAGGGAGTTTAACAATTACCTTTTATACAGTCACAAACCAATGGGATTCAATTCAAGACATTGACAATCCTTACATTTCACTCGATTTGCATTTATTTACTTTTGAACATCAGTAAAAAGCAAGCCAGGCATGTGATTAAATGTAAAAAATAAATAAACAAATAGCCCTGACACGTTGAATTTACATTACTGCACAGAGAACAGGGAGAGAGAAAGAGACAGAGAGTGAGTGAGTGAGTGATTAAGTCACTCACTCACTCAGAGTGAGGAGGGGTAAAAAAAAACTGCAAAATAAACCGCCCATTGCTCCTTGCGGCCATAACATAACAAGCTTCTTTTTTATGAAATAGTTTAGGCTTTTGTCAAAGTTTATAGTTTGAATGGGGGCTGTAGCTGAAAGATTGACGAAACTGAAAAATGGGAAAGTTGAAGTTTAGAGGATTTGAAAAAAACCTCCATTGGAAAACCATGTTAAAAATTAATGATTTATATAAATTCAAGCGTAAGAAGTAGAAAGCTGAAAAGTCATAGCACCCTTTTCATGAAGGAGCTGAATATATGAATATTTGAATGGTTTAAATAGCTGAAAATCTGGGGGAAGCAGTTGAAATTACGTACGGAAGAAATAGTTGGAGAAAAAGAATGCTTAACAGCATTCCAACAATAAAGCTTAGAAGAAGAATACTTACAATAACAACAATAAGAGATCAGCAGTGAGCACTGCTCTATAACCATTCAATAATTGTACTTTAAATCAAGGATAAGTTTCTAACTTACCTAACATTCTGGCCATGTTTAGGTTAAAGAGTGGAGTAGATGCTGATGTTCTGAGTTCTGATTGTTCAGAAAGTGTCTCCTGCAACTCTGGTGGAACGGCTCTTTATGAACTGACAAATTGAAAGTGAAAATAATTCAGCCCCTCAAAAAAGGGTTATTCAGTCTGAAGGTTTATACCCATTTGTGTATCTTTTATTTTACGACCCTTTGTATTTCCCAGAAGTCCCTGTGTTACAGTCACTCCTACCTCACCATTTACAAGAAATGGTCCCACTTCATCTAATGGCGCCTTTCCACCGAGCGGTATGGTACGGGTCAGTACCCTTTTATTTGTGTCTCCACTGCCAAAAGTTGAGAATAGTACCAAAAATCCGAACCGTACCGTAACACTTTTTGGGTACCCTTCCGTTGGGGTACCTGGCATAGTTGTTTGGTACTAAAGGATGGAGCTAGACTCACTGCAGAACGTTGATTGGTTGAAAGAATTACGTGCCGCAACCCGTACCGTACCATACGGCTCGGTATGGTAATGGTGCGGTTGGGGCCATAAGCAGCACAACCCCCCCCCCACCTATTTAATGGGATTGGCAGCAGTTTCTTCTTCAATTATAGTAGTTTGCCAAAGCAGCAAGTATTTTTAAATACAGACTCTTATTATTGGATTGTTACGTCCCCTGGGGCCTGTTTCAATAAGGAGGTTCAACCAACTCTGAGTTAAAACTTGAACTCTGAGTTGACTTACCCTGAGATGGGAAACTCTGACTTTTCGGTTACAGAACAGCTGAAATGAGTTAGTTCAATCAACTCTGAGTTGACCTACTCTGAGTTAAGCGCGTGCACCACAACTATAAAAAGCCATTATCAATGGAGCGCAGATATTACGAGTCACCATGGCAACAGCGCCAGACAAAAAGAGGTCTTCATATTTTTCACCAGCAGAACTGGATGTGCTTATGCAAGCATATGGAGAGTACGAACATATATTTAAAAAAAAAAAGCAACACGGCTGCAGCGGCGAAGGACAGAGAGTTAGCTTGGGAGAAAATAGCTGCTCGAGTCAATGCGTAAGTTTACATTTGAATTACTGTTATACAGTGTTGTGTGTAATTAATTTCTATGTAATCTAAAAACTGTAATTTAATTCCGTAATTTAAAGTAAAATCTGATGTAATTGCATTAAATGCTGCATAAACTATAAAGCAATTCTGTATAAAACAATAGTGGATTTAACATCAAATTTTAAAAGATATATTTTTTCAAGAATAATTCATGCAATTGTATAATGTTTATTTGAAAGCATTAAAAGTGCAGTTTCTTGTCTCTCCTTGTATTGTTCAAGTGGTTGAGGTTGATATGGGATTTAGAAAGTAATTAGTAATAAGTAGACCAATACTTTCTAGAGATAGTCATTATTACATTAATCTAATTACACTGTTGAAGAAGCCAGTTGTAGTTAGTAATATAAGTGACTTGCCCAACTGTTATAATATCAGAAGTGAAACTGGAAGAACAGTGTGTTATTCAACCTTAATTTTTAATTTTTTAATTTTATGTAGGTGCAATCCTGCAGGCATTAAAAGAACATGGCAGCAGCTGAAAATGAAATATAAAAACATAATTCAATCAGGTAAGGCTTGAACATATCATGGTTGTAGTCTACCTGACTTTACAAACATATGACATATAAATAACTAAATAGCATCCAGTGTCTAGCAGTGCAGCAGCATTTTTGACATGGGTCTAAATGTTCATTCTCATTTGACTACTCAGCCAACAGAAAGAAGGCAGAGGCTCGCAAAACGGGGGGAGGACCTGCACCACCACCTCTTGACAAATGCAGAGGAGATGGCCCTGAGCCTGAATGCTGGAAGGCCAATGGCTGAGGGAATTCCTGGAGGGACTTCATCAGAGCCAGTCACTCCAGAAGATTTAAGTGCCTTCATAAAATGTAAGAGGTCTACCTATGTGTTGTGTTTTTATATAGGCTATTTGTGATATTTCCATTTATTTTACTTTGGGGTGGGTTTTTCGTTGGTCCCAACAGATTCTGATGGTAAAATTAGTCTTTTGGAGCCTCCTGTCCCAACAGAACCACAGGCAGTTGTAAGTAGCCTACTCAATACACCAGAAATTATTACAAATAGTGTTATAAAGTGTACTCAAATGCTCATCTTCACAGGATGATGGGGATGAAGAAACAGTTTCTGCTGCCACAGAGATGCCTACAGAGGTAATGTTAATATTATGTGTCTATCAAACAATCTACACATTCACA